TAAAAAAAAAAAAAAAAAAATCCAGTAAACTACATCCTATTTAAACAACTCCTAAATTAAACTTAACCAATCTTTCCAGTAACCGGCTGTGTGCTAAGCCCAAACCCGAACGGGTAAAGCGGATCGTAACCCGGGTCGCCGGCGTTCATCGGCAGCTGGTCAACCCTCTTGAACCACGTGATCGGCAACTTCCCACCAAAACCGTAATCCCCAAACAAAACATCTGCCATCCCTTGACCCTCAGACCCTGGCAGCCATGCAGCCACCAGGGCATCAATCTGGGCCAAGTACGGTTGGATCAAAACGGGTCGACCCGTAACCAAAACCACAACACACTTAACCGAACGGCACACGTTCTCGATAACCTCGGGGCCTGGTTTTGGCAGCATTAGTTCGGCATTGTCCCCGACCGACTCGGAATATGGGCGCTCGCCAACGACCACGATAGCGTACGAATAACCGCCTTTCCTCACGCGCTCGGGGCTCGGGTTTTCTTCGAACACGACCTCGGTTTTTGGGTCGACCGTTTTCCGAACTGCGGAGAGGATTGTGGTCCCGGCCGTGATGTTGCCGCTCTTGCCGTGCCACTCGATCGTCCATCCGCCACATTGGTTGCCGATGTCGTCCGCGTGAGTCCCGGCCACGAGGATTTTCCGAGCCCGTTTTGGGAGGGGTAGTAACGGCCGCTCGTCGATCGGTTTCCCGTTTTTTAGGAGGACGAGCGATTTTCGCACGGCCTCACGCGCGAGCTCTCGATTTTCCTGCAAGGGACGGGAAAGAAGAAGGGAATTTACGAAACTACCCTTGTCGACGAGACTAGATATGAAAATTAGAAGTCGAGTTTATGTTTCGAAATTCCATACATACTAACTTTCAGTCTGAAATATCATACTGACTGACCTGGCTGCCTAAGTGCTTGGCCATGCGATAATCGGCCAAGGGGTGTTCGAAAAGACCCATCGTGAATTTAACTCGTAAGATCCTCCTCACGGCATCGTCTATGCGGCTAATTGGGACGAGCCTTTTCTTGACCAAATAGGTCAAACCACCGATGAACTCCTTATAGTTGTATGGAACCATAACCTGCATCGTACGAACCGAAACCGACTTTATTTTATGCACTTTATTCGGAACTCGACTTTTGCAAAGCCGTAAAATCAAAAGCAAAAGCTAGTTAAACAAATACACACTACTAACCATGTCGATTCCAGCGTTTATTCCGACTCGGATTGAATTAACGTAGTTCGCATGTGGTGGGGATGTGATTTTGTCGATGCCCTGCCAATCAGAGATAACAAACCCCTGCATTTTTTTTTTCATTTCTTAGTCTTGCTATATATATTGTTGATGAAGATTAAAAAAAAAGGAGTTTTAGGAGAAATTATTACTTTGAAACCAAGCGTGTTCTTGAGATAGCCGGTGATTAAGGCTCGATTCGCATGCATCTTGATTCCATTCCAGCTCGAATACGAGACCATGACTGTCGATACGCCTTTGGAAACCGAGTCTACATAAGCCGGCATATGAATGTCGAGCAGCTCACGAACAGTTCCCACAGTGTTGGCCTCATTTATTCCCCTGCTCGTCCCGCCATCCCCGACAAAATGCTTGGCACATGCCACAACTTTGTCTCTGAACAAAAAACAGAACAAATATTGCATTAAGACAAAAAAATGTTCG